CCCCGGGGGGGCAGTCCCTTGGGGGGGGGGGGCTAAGGGGTTTGGGGGGGTCCCCGGAGGGTGAGACCCCCGCGGGGGTGTCTGTAGGCCTTAGGGGGTCTGAAGGGTTCGGGGGTGGGCGCAGCAGCCTGAGGGGGTGGCTGCGAGTTTGGGGTTGAGTCCCCTGCAGTGGGTCTTGGGGGTCACCAGTTAGCCACCCCAGGAGAGGGTCCCCCGAGGGGTTGGGGGGGGGTGGGGCTCAGTGCCCCCAGGAGAAGGGGGGAGCGAGGCCGAGCCCCCCTCGGTTAGCGAGCTTACCTCTCCGCTGAGAGGGGCGACACACCGGGGCGCCCGCCGAGGAGCCCCCCCGCTGCCCTCCTCCACGGGGGACGCGGCCCCCGCGCCCGGGGCTTGCGCCCCGTGCCTGTGGGTGAGGATGGCCTGGGCTCTGAAGCTGCCGCTGGCGGACGAGGTGATCGAGTCCGGGCTGGTGCAGGACTTCGACGCCAGCTTGTCGGGCATCGGCCAGGAGTTGGGTGCCGGGGCCTACAGCATGAGGTAGGTGGGCTGCTCCGGCCACCTTAAAGGGTCCATCCTGCACCTGGGAGAGGGGCTGGCAGCCCGGGGGGGCTCGGGGTGGGCTGAGGAGCCCCAAAATGTGCCTAATGATGGGGGGACCGAACTGCTCACCGGCACATTTGGCGGCCACGGCGTCACACCGGGGGACGGTTCAGGAGGGAGCCGGGTGCTCGGCTTCGGCACCAACCCTGGGACGTGGTGGTGGACGCTTGAAGTTGGGATGGAGTCGCAGTCGTAGAGAGCCCGTCGGCTGCTCAGGGCTGTGGGGGTCAGCCGCTCGGGGCTTTGGGGACTCGCTGTGCAGTTGTTTTGGAGAGCAGATGCGCTCGAGGGTGCAGGGTTGTGCAGCCCCGGCATCGCTCTTGGTCTTTGGCCTCCTGATGTCCTCAAACTGCAGCTAAATCAACCAGCGTTTGTCCCACGCTTCTCCTCCACTGCTGGCTAGAAGAGCTCGTGGCCGGTTGCTTTGGTGTTATGCAGCGTATGGTAATCGCCGCAGGAGCTGTACTTTGCCCTAATTAATTACCCTCCCGGAGGAACACCGGCATGGTTTTTTCAGGTCAGACTAGCTCTCTCCTGCCTCTGAGCTAAACAAGGAGCAAAGGGGTGTAGCAGCACCCCACAGGGTCAAACACCCCATGCTTGAGTGCAGCGATCAGGGTTGGAACCTCGTAGCATCGGATGCTCAAACCATATTGCACAAGTACGTGGCCCGTGCTCTGGAGATGCGTCCCAGCTTGCTTCGCCACTCTGCCCTCCCGATCCCAGCTCTGGCATCCAGCTGCTTGGCCGAGCCTCCATGCAGCAGCGAAGCCAAAGCGCTGCATCGTGCTCGCCATTTGAGACCAGGTAACGCCTCAGTTTTGGCTGCATGAGTTGTAACAGGGAGATGCAGTCCATGGATGAGGTGTCAGACCGGACAGGGTCTACCAAGTAGGTCTGCGAGCGGCCACATGCTTCCCCACCACCATCCTTGATTAATTAACTCTGTTGTGGGCCGGTGCAGATCCAGTGCCATCTGTGAGAGAGCTGCCTTGGTGTAACTTGGGGTGAGAGCTTTGTTAGTTCAAATGCGACTTCTGGTCCGCTTGTTTTCGTCCTGGGATCCCCCTCGGCTGGAAGTGAGGAGGGATGATGGGATGGATCACTCCCCGCAGACCCGAGGCAGGAGCTGAGCACACAGGCGGGCAGCAAAGGAAGGTCTGGAGGTTGGGGCTGAGGTTAAGCTGTCCAGGAGGAGGATGCCACAAGTGGATGCCTTGATGCAAGACTGGGGCTTTCTGAGGGGGCTGCAATTGGAAATGGTAAAAGTCAGAATGAAAAATGCCCCATTGGGTGATTGCTCACTGTAAAACAGGCTGGGAAGCAACTTCCAGCCTGCTGCCTTTTTCCAGGGGAAGTGAAAGAGCAGCTCTTCTCATCTAGCCTCCATCTCTCCTTCCTTCAAGGGATGAGGAGAGCCAGCACTTTCCCAAAGTTATCCCTGACCGCCGTTAGGATCTGTTGCAGCCTTTGGAGTTTGTTTAGTTGGAATGCTTGGAAAAAAAACAAAGTCCCAAAGGTGTGTGAGCTCAGGGGGAGTGTGTCCATCACCTCTCCTGGCAATAGCAGCACAGAGCACTGTGACCAGTAGCTTTTTCGGAGGAGGGATTCCTCCTTCATTACCTTTGATGGGGAGGGAGCGAATTAGTTTCCAATGTGAGCAGGGAAGGTCCAGCTTTGCTCTGGGGTGGAGTAATGAAGCTTTGAAGCTCCTTTTCCTCCCCTTTCCCCTTCCTTTTGGGCAAGGGGTCCCATGCACAAATGCTCCCCTCAGAGAGGGTGAGCAAAGGTGTCATGGAGCGTCTTAATGTGTAGACTTGCCTCCTTTGAGCTAAAACCCATTGGCTGTGCATCAAAGTTCTAACTGCACGAGGAAATCCTGCAGCTGCAAGCTTTGAAGCATTTACATCCTTTACCTACCACAGCTGACCCATCTAGGCAGCAGTTTTCAGCGCCGGAGGTTTGAGCGGAGGTTTCCTGAGGCCACGGCTCTGCACGTCCACGTGCCGTGCACCAAACTGGCTGCAAAGCTTTTCCATGCCGGTATTACCAGTGCAAAAGGGCTTCGAGCTCTGTGTCAGCGGCGCAGTGGCTGTGCTGCTGCTCCGAGCCCGACCTGCTGCTGAGCTGCACTCTCTGTGGGGCTCGCTCGGCCGTCTGAAACCCGACTCTCTTTTTCGGAGACTTTTCTTGACCTACGCTGCCTGTAAATAGAGCGTGTGCCCCCGTAGGTGAGCGCGCCGACCTTCCTGTCCTGACATCTGACATTTTCTCTGCGTGTTGTGGGAAAGGGGGAAAGGTTTCAACAGGCACTTCAGGTTTTGAGCGTTTTTGTGGCTTTTCCATGCTTGCCCCTTGGGGGTTTTCCACTTTCGTCCCTTCTCCCTATGGAAGAGACACGTTACTGCCTTGGGAACGAGCGCTGGTAGGTGGTGGTGGATGATAAGGGTTGTCGCTCAGGCTTTTTCTCATTTGAGTTGCACTGTAGGATTGTGCTTTGCGTTTGTCAACGAACCTAAATTCTTGGCATTACTGTTGTTCCCTGGAATTAGGTTTTTAGGAGAGCAGAGGTGGCTTTGGAGGTGATAATAGGGTGTTGCCTGAATACTTCCATCCGCAGGGTTTTTCTGTAATTATTTTTTTCCCTTTTTCCCAGGAGATTCTCTCCCACCCCCGAACCGGAGGCCTTAAGTGAAGTGTCTTTCCCCAAAAGCATGTTAAATTGCATGGTGAAATAATGTTTTTTTCAAAGGCAGGCCTGTCCCCAGGAGTTGCAGGAACTTCTCCAGGTGCCCATGGAGCAGGCAGGACCATGCGTGGGTTTGT